TAATTTTTTTTTTTTTTTTTTTTTTTTTTTCGTTGTTTTATACTTTTTTAATTTTTTTTTTTTTTCATAAAACCGTTTATTGAAACATTAATTTAGAGAGAAAATATTATAAAATATTATTACAAAAAATAAAATAAAATAAAATAAAATTTTTTGATAAACAACAACGTATTTCATATGAAAAATTTCAAAATAAAAACTATTTATAAAAATATTCTTTAAAAGAAAAAAAAAAAAAAAATGAATTTGTCGATTTTAAATACAATTATTTTTTTTTTTTTATTATTTACAATTTTTAATGAAAAAAAATTAAAATTAAAAATTCATAAATAATGAAATATAATTACATTAATTTTTTAATGCTATTTTAAAAAAAGTAAAAATATTCTTGTGTCTTTTTCTTTAATTGTCATTTCTATAAATGTATGTATAATTATATATATATATATATATGTAGGTAATTAATATACTTATGCAATATTCATAAAAATACAATGAAATATTATTTTTTTTGTTTAAATTTAAAATTATAATAAATTTTTAATTTATTATGCTTTTTATTTTATTTAATTTTATTAAAATAATATATATATATATATATATTTTTTTTTTTTTTTTTATGTACTCATTTTATATATATACATATATTATTCTGATAAAAAAGAAAAAAAAGATACGAACTGTTGTTGTGAGGGAAGTTTTTCATTATTATCCTTCATTTCCAATGTAGAGCTAACATTATTTTTATTTAAATTATAATATTCTAAAAAATAATTATCTTTAAAATTTGGGATTTTATTATCCAAATTATCAGTTTCCTTTTCATTATTATCATTATTAGAAGTTACTGGACTCGTTTGAAATTTCCTTTTTATAGATAATAAATCTTTTTCATTTTTTTCATCCAAATAATTTTCTTTAACTTGCTGGTGATAAAAATTCACTATACTATTTTCTTCTGTATCCATTGCACCATTTATATTAATATCTTTTTTTTTGTCTAATTCATTATTTATTTTATTTATCATTTTATCTTTTTCAGAATCGTATTCCATGAATTCATTAGTATAATCTTTCTTATTTTCTATTAAAAATGCATGATCTTTTCTTTTTATTTCTCCATTTTCTTTTTCTCTTTCCTTTTCATTTTTTTTTAATTCATCAAATAAAAATTCCTTATTTTTATTATAAACGTCATTTTTTATTTTGTTGGCAGTTTTTTTTAATTTCAAAACTCTGTTAAATTCAACTACTCCTATAATTTCATAAGCAATTTGTGCAATATTATCCCATTGCTCTTGAGTAAAAACTAAATTACCTTTGATTATTTTATCATATAAAGTTTTTAAGCATTTGATAACTTCTAACAAATTAATTTCACTGTTTTTATCATTTTCTGTACTATTTAAATTACAGTTTAATTTACTATCACTATTTAATGATTCCGAATCGCATTTTTTATTTTGAATTAATGTATTTAAATTTTCTTCATTATCTAAATAATCATCTTCATCATCATTTATATCATCACTGGTAGCTTCTTGTTCATTGAAATTGATTTCATGTGCGGCTGTACTACAACTTGAATGATTTTGTTTTAATTTTAAAGTATTGAAATTATTAAAGTTCTGATTTGCACTTAAAGAATCTATAATATTATTAGAAATATTTGAACTAATAGAAAAATTGTTCCCATTTTTTGCAGTAAATCCATTCATTTTATTAGAAATAAGTTCATTATAATTTGAGGAATAAATATTTGAATTATTTGTATTATTACTGTTTGCATCAAAATTAGCAAATGAATTAATAGAATTTTTTATTCTACTTCTTGTATAATTGTTTAAGTTTTCAAATGGAGTATTATTAAATAAATTTAATTTTAGATCTTCTTCAGAATAGTTTAATAAATTATCATTAAATGATAAAGCAATTTTTCCTATATTAATTTTCGGTATATCATTTTTATTAGAAATGGAATCAACAGAAGAATAGGCGGTTGAAGTCATAGCATTCATTTTATTACTATGTACATCATTATCATTCATATCTTCTAATTTTAAATCACTTTTTTTTTTTAATGAAAAACTTTTAACATATTTATCATTAATTAAACCATTACTGTTCTTATTGCATATATCTATTTTGTCAACAATAATGACATTAGGAATACTTGGAATATTTATACCATTAGTAAAAGGTAACTTATAATTTCCTGGTACTCTCGTTTCTGCTAAACCATGTATAAAAGGACAATAGTAAGTATTACATGATCCTTTTTTATAATCTTCACATCTTTTTGTTTTATAAAAAAGAGGATGGTATAAAATTTCTTCAGAGGAATGAGCAAAAGGGCATTCACCTCCCCTTAAACATAAACTATTAATAGAACCATCACTTTTTGTTTCTACATCTGGACACATTATTGTTATATAACGGATAAAAGAGGAATCACTTAAATAAAATGGACATCTTCTATTCCAAAATTCATTATGGCTATATTGACATCTATCTAACCCAAAATTACAACCACCATTTAATAATCTTTTACACTGTTTTGTTCTAAATCGACTCAAATCTTCTTCACTTAATAAAGTCGCATATACCATTTTTACCAAAAAAAAAAAAAAACAAAAAAAAACAAAAAAAAAACAAAAATAAAATTAAATAAAAAATATTACAAAATTGTAATGTTTTACTATTTTTTATTGAGAAAAAAATTGAGAAAATATTTGATTATTATATACATATATATATAAATATATATATATATATATATGACTCTTACAACAACAAAAAAAAAAAAAAAAAAAAAAAAGAAAAAGCAATGAATAAATAAATCAAATCAAATCAATAAAAAATAAAATATATTAAACTAAGAATGATAACTATAAGTATAAACATATAAAAAGGAAAAAAAGTAAAACCAAAAATATTATTTAAACAATAAATATTAGATAAAATAGAATTGTTCTGAATAAAAAAAAAACAAATATATAAAAAAAATTATCTTTTAAGATTTTCAATTAAAAATAAATCTTAAAATATATACAACTATTAATATTAGAATTAATCAAAATTAATCAAAATATACCAAAACCAATCAAAATAAATTACACTACAAAATAATATAAAATAAAAATATATTACACTAAAAAAATTAGTGTCAATATAATTTAGAATAAAAATCATAAAAATAAATATATCTATACCTATGTGAATATATATATATATATATATAAATTATTGTGAATAAAAATAAAATGATATTATTTAATAAATAATAATGCAATTTTTTTTTTTTTTTTTTTTAAATATGAATACAAAATATTATATAGAAAAGAAAAAAGAAAAGAAGTAAGTCTATTGATATATATAATAATTTAATAAAATGTAATATTAACAAAAATGCTTAAAAAAAAAAAAAAAAAAAAAGAAATTTAATTTTAAAAAAATGTTTTACAAATAAATAAATATATGTCTTTCTTTGTTTTATAAAATGTTTTAAGTTTATTAGTAGACAAAAGTACAAAATAATAATTTTTTTTTTTTCTACTTATAAATTCATTAGGTAAATACACTAAGATAAATCGTGCTAATTTTTAAATACACATAGAACAAAAAAACAAAACAAAATGAAAAAGAAAAAAAATAATAAAATTATTCTTCCTACGTTTTTTTTTTTTTTTTTTTTNAAAAAAAAAACGAAAAAAAAAAAAAAAAAAGTAAACATACCATTAATAATACTAAAATACTTTGTTTTGTATCAAAAATGTTAAAAAGACAATTTTTATAAATAAATAAATTATTACACATTAAAGTTCCAATAAATAGATGGATTCTAAAAAAAAATTTTTTTTTTTTTTTGTTTTCAGTTAAAATAACATTTAATTTCATAAATTTTAAATAAAGAAAATTCATATAAATATATATATGATGAAAAGAACTCAAAATATAAAAAGAATAAAAGAGTGATTTATTTTTATAAAAAATTTAAAAATATAAAATTAAACAAAAATATATCATTCTTTACATAATTTCAAATATAAATATATTTTTTTTTTTTTTTCTTTTTCTATTAAATATAGATAATAAATTATTTTAATTTTTTTTTTTTTTTTACTATTATAATTTAAATACATGCTACTTATTTAGATAAAATATTATGTGATAACACAAGACAGATTAATAGAATAAAATATATTACAAATAATAATAGAAACTCTATACAAAATAACATAACGTAAAAAAAAAAAAAAATAGACGTTTTTATAAATATATTATTATGCATCAAATTTTAAAAATGGTAATAAAATATTTAGAATTATATTAATAATAAATTAATAATTATAAATATATATTATAATAAAAGTATTTTTTTTTCTATTATATTTTTTTTCGTTATTAAAGATAATTTAAAATATAAAATTAAATATTAATCAAATAAATCTATAAGGTCTTAGTTTTCAAAAAATAACACTTAAAATTTTTTATTTTTTTATACTTTTCAATAAATATTTTAAATGGAAATAAATGTAAAATAAATTATTATGAATTTTATAAATATCTTAGTTAACAATTAATATATATTAATTTCACAAAATATGTAAAATATATTATATGAACATAAGTAAAATTTTCTAATGTTTTATGTATATATATATATATATTTATTAATATTTTTTTTTTTATATATATAACTTTTTTATTATAATAGTGAAAACAAACAAAATAAATATTAACAAAATTTTTTGTTTTTCTTCTTTTACTTTTAAAATATTTAATAGAAAATAAATAATATCAAACATATATATATATATATAATACAAAAATGTGTGTGCTAAATCTAAAATTCTGTCAAAAAATTTTACGCTTTTTTTTATAACATCTTTTTAAATTTGTCTATACAACCAAAAAAAATTTATTTTATATAATGAAACATAAACTAATAAAAAAAAAAAAAATTATTATGAAAGATTTTACAGGAAAATAAAAAAAAAAAAAAAAAAACTAAATTTGACTGATGTAATCTTAAATAATAAAATTGGATAAATATAAAATAAAAATGTATTTAAAAGTGTAAACTTAAATCATATTGGGCATTTGTATATTAAGCGGAATAAAAAACAAGTGCAATTTAAATTATAAAAAAAAAATAGGAAGTAACATTTGATTAGTGCATAAATATTAAAAATAAGAAGCTAAAGTAATTTAATGTCAAATAAATATAAGGAAATTATATATATATAAAAAAAAAAAAAAAAAAAAAAAAAAAAAAAAAAAACGATAAAGGTGCAATTTACGTAGAAATGGAGTTCTATTTTAAAAATTTATTAGTTTAATTCTTTAAAGCGGAAAAGAAAAAAAAAAATAATAGCAGTCCTCATATAAAATAATTATAGAATTTATTAAATATATATATATATATATATATATAAATAAATTAGACGTCACTTTATTTTATATTTTTTCTTTTATATTTTGTATAAAAACTAAAATTTACTATTAATGTGCGTAATATTTCTAAAAAGTAAAAGTTAAATAGATAATATTTTTTACAATTAAAAATAAAAATAAATTCACAGAAATATTAACTTTGAAAGCTCAATCAAAAATTTAAACATAATTCATACGTTATCATATATATTATTTTTTTGATGTATAAATTAATTATTTTAAATATGTTTTATAGAAACTTTTTTATTTAAAAAAAAAAAAAAAAAAATTAATAAAATAAAACTGTTATTGGTATTACATATTATTTTTTTTTATCATCCTATTAAAATGTATATAACTAAAAAAAAAAATTGTAAAATTTTGTGTGCAAATAAAATTAAATTATTATTTAGCTCTTTTTTTATGCTTAATTTTTTAATCATCAAATTTAATATAAAAAAAAAAGGATTTATAGAAAAAGGATCCAAATATTTATTATTCTTAAGATATGTATAAATACATGTAAAAAGATCAAAAATTAAAGCCAAATTTATGAAAAAATTGTGAACACTTTTAATTCATAACAAATTATTAAAATTAAACAAATTATTAAAAGAAAAAAAAATTATTAAAAATTAAAATTAAGTGTATTTTTAAGGTATGAATCATAAGAAAATGATGCAATTGTTATGGTGTAAAAAAAATAAAGATACAACATTTGAATTTTTGCATCTAAATACATATAGAAACACTTCATATATATGAAAAAAAAAAAATATATATATATATATATATTACTTTAAGTTAAAATGTTATTTATTAAATAAAGTACAGTAAAAAATTTAAATAACCTATTTTTGTTCCTTAAACATACATATGCAAATATATATATATATATGAGTATTAACATAAAATTTAAGATTATTTCTAATTAATTATGAATTTTAACGTGCATAAAAAAATATTGTTTGGAATTTCACTCATAATAAATTTCTAATTTTAAAATAATATTTATATAAAAATGAATTTATGTCTGATAAAAATTTTAAAGAAAAAAAATATTATTTTTATCTTTTTTTTTTTTTTTATTATGATGGATAATAAATTTAATTATATAATATATTTTTTTTTTTTTTTTCTTAATGTTACAAAATATTAGCAAAATATGGTTAATGAAAAATTAAATTTTAGAAAATTTTATAAAGTGTCAAAATATAATAAAATTAAATGGTGGAAAAAAATGATTATTTTTCATATAAATAGAAATATTAAATTAACTTTTTTACAACTTTGTGTGTAGAGGAAAACACATTGCATGTTTCTCTATTTTTAATTATTCATTGTAGATATAAAAACTTATTTTTTTTTTAAAACATCCAATAAAATTATTTTTTATAAGAACAATATTTAATTTAACTTTTTAATATATTTTTTATTTTTTTTTTATTTTTGTTATATTTTTTTATAATTTTAATAAAAACATAATAAAAGATAATATCAACTTCAGTTTTTTTATTACAATTTTTTTATTATATAAATCAAGAGCATGTAAGAAAAAAATTACTTTTTTTGTCCATAAATAAAAAAAAGTTCTTTTTTATTTTTTATACATGCACATTTAAATATATATTTATAAAAATAACATTGTATGTTTTTTTTTGAAAAATTTACATATTTATTTTTTTATTATCATTGAAGTTTTATTTTACCACTACTAAAGATAAAAATAGCATGTTTATAATTTTTAAAATTTTTTCATATAAGTATATAAATGCACCTAATGTGTATAAATTTTATGCAACATTGTTTTACATATAAATCTTTGCATGGCTATATTAAAAATGTTTTTGTCCAATTTTTTATATTGAAATGATATTCTAATAAGATTGAATTGAATAATAAAAATTATGTTTCATAATTTTCTTTAAAATTACTTAAAATTATTTATTTTTATTTTTATTTTTTTTTTTTTTTTTGTATTTTGTACATAGTCTCATATTCTTTTAATTATTTTTCCTTTTTTTTTTTTTTTTTTGGAAAATTAAAGGTGTCCTTTACAATGATATATTGCTATTCTTATGCAAAATTAAATATATCTAATTAAATGTGAAAAAAAATTTTAATTAAAATAAAAAATTTTTAATTTTGTTTAAATTCATTAAAATGTAGAAGATTATTTATGAGATTTACATATTATTTTAGCTCTTTAATAAGTAGAAAAGCTTAAAAGCATATAATAAAAATTATTTTTATTTGTATCTTTTCTTCAAAATTAGTATATTAATATAATTAATTATAGTTTTTTTTATCTTATTATGAAAGTAATATACTTTTATTTGTATTTGTACATTTTGCAAATCTCATAAAATAATATTGTATTTAAACTATTAAAAAAAAAAGAGTTACTTAAAAATAAATAAAATATATTTTAAGAAAAAAAAAAAATAATAATAATAATAAAAATAAAATAAGAACCATTCTTTGAACAATAAGTTATAGTAAAAAAAAAAAAAATAATTAAATTTATATCAAAATTTCAAAAAAATTAATGAAAAAATCCAAACCTTTCATTGTAAGTTAAATTTATACTTATGAGTGTTAAATGTTATATCTGATTTATTTTTCTCTATTTTAGTAACATCATGAAAATCCAAAGATTTTATATGAGGTAAGTAATGAATTACAAATGGTCTACAAAAAAAATTATAAAAAATAGAGTGAAAATTAGTTAAAAAAAATGAAATTATCAAAGATATAAAGAAATAAATAACATTAATTTTTATATAAAAAAAAAGAGAAAAAAAAAAATAATAAATAAAATATTTTATTACATTCTTAATAAAATATTTAAATATTTGTAGAAAAATAAGAATTTAATATTGAATCATATTATTTAACAAAATTATATATTACCGATAAAATTTATTATATAATTCCATGATAGGATTATTTTCTAAAGTAAGATTTTTTAATTTAGATAATGATTCAAGTTTTTGAATTTCTCCTATATTCTCAATTTTATTTGAATGGATATATAATGTTTTTAAATTATTTAATACCAATAAACTATCATCTATTGTGACTAAATTATTAAAGGAAATATCTAAAGAAATAATATTTGAATAACTAATAGTTAGCTCAATATTTTTTTGCTGATATATATATCTCAATAGATCATTCATAAAACATAAATCCTCTAGGTTATTATTATTTATATTTAGAACTTTTGAATTACTAGAAACGTTAATTTCCTTATTATTATAATTATAAATTATCTTATTTAATTCTAACACATTTTTTTTTTCATACGTAATTATTTTATTTGTTCCTGCCCATATTTTCATAGTATTTTTTAACTTAATATATTTTTCTATCTTATTATTTTCGTCTTTATTTAAATCGTCATTTAAATTTTTCCTCTTATCAGAATTATCAGATTCATCATTTGTATCTTCACTCTTACGTATAAAACATTTTTAATTGTAATAATATACTTATATATATAAATAAACTAAATGTAAGTTTTCATTTATATTATTTTTAAACAATTTTTTTTTTAGTAATTTTTAATTACCAGAGTGTTATTTGTTTCGTAAAATCTAGGTAAGGTTTCATATTCATTGTAGCTTAATTTTAATGAATTAAAGTTTTCCATAATTTAAGAAAGTTTATATCTTTATTTAATAAAATTTTTATATATGAAAATATTTATATTTTTTTCTTTTTTTAATAATTTTCTAAAAATATACATTCATAAATTATGTTCATTTTTGAAAAAAAACACAAAGTTATTAAGGTAAAATATATGAAAAAGATTAAAGGAAAGTTTAAAAAAAAAAAAAAAAAATGAGTAATATAATATTAAACACACACTAAAAAAAATTAAAAAAGGAGAGAAATAAAAATAAAAAAATAAAAATTTTAAGAAGACATTTTTTTTAAAGATTTTTTAAAAAATAGCAGAAATGATAAAAAAATAATAAAGGACGAAATACACATCTATAATTAATATAAAACTAAATAATTTAAAAAAGGTTAATCACTTTTTAATTAAATGTAATCATATTTTAAATTGATAAAGCAAATTTTTCATTACTTTGAAATAATTTAATAAAAAAAAATTATCTTATTATATTATATGAATATACATAAAAATTCTTTAATTTTATTTTTAATAAAAGTGCACTGTAGCTTTAAAAGAATATATATTTTTTTTTAAATTACGGTAATTTAGTAACTACTTATTATTCTAATATAATGATATTTTTCTCTTTATGTGATAAATTATCATTTATTATAATAGGTAAAAATATTAATTATTACTTTCTGTATTAAGAAATTTTGCATTTCTTAAAAATTTTCTTTTAATTTTTTCTGTTTCTTCAATATTTTTTAATTTAATTTCTAATGGTAGTGGTATCTCAGTAATTCCCGTAATACAATTTAATTTTTCTGAATTATCATTAATAGAACTTTTAACTTTTAAATGATCTGATATTTTATATAAATCTTTAACAATATCATCCTGCTCTTCTTTTTTTTTTTTTTTTTCATCTTTTTCTTCATAAAATTCCTTCATATTTTCTCTTATAAATGATTCTACATGAGCATCTTCTATTTCCTTTTCAGTAATGTTTTTGGTAAATTGTTTATCTAATAATTTTTTTTCTTTTTCATTTTTTTCTAAAACTTTTGATTCGTAGATTATATTGTCAGCATTTATTCCTTTCTTTTTTAATCTTATATTTTGAAGTAGTTTAAGATTTTTTGAGGTTTCTAATTTCAATATTTTAAAATTTTTATGAATTAATTCGTTTTTAGTACTTTCTTGAATTTTCAAGTCTTCATCTTTTTCTAAGGGAATTCTCATGCATTTATTATCAGTTTTTAATTTTCTCTTCTTTATCATAATATAAATGAAGAAAAAATTAAATGAAGTAAATTATTTCTCTTTTATAATCTTCTTCTTTTTTTTTTTTTGTAAAATTATGAAATTCAAAAAAATAAAATTTATCAGATAGTTAAAAATAAAACACTAATAAAATGTATCTTTAGTAGAAAATATTTATAAA